CAGCGTATAGGACTGGGGCAGAGTTAGGCCGCTCACCTAAGTCTGTGAGCAAGAACGTCAGCCAGCGGAGCTCCTGTGCCGCTATGGCACCAGCGTAAATCTCAGCCTCACCGCTAGGCTGTGCAACAAACGACGAGAGGGTGGACCTCCACGAGATAGCGCATGTACCAAGGCTAAAGCAGTAGCCGTGGGAGGACTAGCGCGTCTCAGCGTCGTCCACCAACGAAGCGTCTGTGTGCTCTGTAAGGACCACTGGCCTGCATCCTCCTAGCACTAGCCCCACGCCCTATGTACTTGCTAGATAACGCAAAACCCTCTTGGCGGCGAAATACGGGAACACGCCGGTGATTGGCTGGCACAAGTGCTGCACCAATCACCTTCGCCGTGTGTTGGCGACAGTGGTGGTGTTGTATGCGCTGCCCAGCATTTACACACCAGAGAAATGCCGTAACCGATGGAAGAGGCTGGTCAAACAGCACAAATCACAGCTGGGTTGGGTTTGGTTGGGTGTGGGAGGGAGGAATGTGTCTGGGTTTCGGGGGTTATGAGAGGGGTGTGACTGGTAGCGGAGGACTTCGCCAAAATTGTACAGACTGCGGGGCGTATAAGAGGGGTGTATACGAGTGAGTGACTGGTTGCGGGGGACTTGGCCAAAATTATCCAGGTTGGGGGGGGTGTGAGAGGGGTGTGTCTGGTAGCCAGAGGACTTAGCCGAATACAGGGAGAACATGAATAAATTTGGGATATATCCCTTATTGAAAATCCATCATGGTGGTACATAGGCCAACTCTGATACAGTAAATAAGAGAAAACCTATACTTTCAAAAACTTACCCAGGACCATCAGAGTGGTTTTCAGAAATGGCTCTGATTTTCAGAGACTCTTAGTGATTTACTATGATAAAATTAGCCCTGCCTGGCAGTCTCTTCAACAGTGGATATTGGCCGATTGGTGTAGGAATGCCCTCTAAGAAACGCATTTGAGAGGGTAGAAATACCAAGAGCTACAGATCCAAGCCCTTTTTTTATTTTTCCATTTATTATTTTATTACGCACCGTGCCATATCACAAAAATCCCATTAAACGCCCTGTGCAAATTTAAGACCGTTTTCATAGAAGAACATGTTGTCATGATAGACGCTGGAATTGCCCTTGGTTCTCGGGGAAGGGTTATAGGTGCAGAGCCTGGGGGGTTATGGGCGCACTTACCCGCTACTTAACAAGCCCTTTTAACTCAGTGGTTAGTGACTGAGTTTTGATATGGTATCAGAGCTGGGTGACCACCCGGGTTCAATTCCCAGTGTGCACCGGAGAGGTGGCAGCGCTGCAGAGGCCCTTGTGTCTTCTGCCTACCCCAACGAGAGGGGGTGTCATGATACTGTACACGCTGGGGTCGCCCTGTTAAAAGGAGATTAGGTGCTAGGTAGCCATGAGAAGGCGAGAGGTTTTAGGTAGGAAGCAAAGTTAACGAGAGTGAAGGTTTGGATTAGAAGAGAGAGGGATACAAGAAGGGTGTTGAACCCTCTACAGTAGGATTCAGTAATTGTAGCACACCTACCAAGCTTACACAAATATATATAATTTGACACACCCCCTAGGCTTGGTAATCGTAAGCCCACCCAACACGCAACACCCCCAAACCCTTGCACCCCCATGTCCTGCAGCAGCTATGGCTTCTACCAGTGGATCGACCCCTCGGCAATCAAGGCAGCGACGACATCGGCAGGTCGCAGCGGCGGCGGCGGCGTCGGCGAGTGCGGCGGCGGCAGGGCCTGCAGCTTCTGCGGCGGCAGCGGCGGTGGCGTCGAGGCACCCAGTGGCGGCAGCAGCGGAGGCGCCCGAGGCACCTGACGGCGTGGCACACACTGTGACGACCGGGGGGGGGGAAGGATGGCACTAGACCTCCAGCAGCTGCGGTGGGGAGGGGGAAATGTAGAGGAAGGGGGAGGGGGGGGGGGGGGGGGGGGAGGGGGGCAGTCTTCAGCGAGGCGCCGAGACTGCCGCGGTGCTGGCTTGTGTGCGGGCGTCATGGATGGCGCCTAAAACGATACTCGGCCCGCTGCCGCCCATGCGCTGGCGCGTCGACGCTGCCACGGCAGCACGACGACGCCGCCACGGCGTGGCATCGACGCCATGGCAGTGCGTCGGGGCTGCCACTGCGGCGAAGAAAGGCCGCCGTGGCAGCACGACGTGACCGCCACGGCGGCGTGTAAGTGACAGGAGGGGCGAGAGGACGCTACAGAAGCCTGAGGATCGGCTTGCTCTAGTACCATGTTAAAAGGAGATTGGGCGCAGGGTAGCCATGAGAGGGCGAGAGGTTTTTGGTTGGAAGTAAAGTTAACGAGAGAGAAGGTTTGGACTAGAAGAGAAAGGGATACTAGAAGGTTATTGTACCCTCTACAGTAGGATTCAGTAATTATAGCACACCTACCAAGCCTACACAAATATATATAAAATATACAATTTGACATGCCCTTGGTCCTGGGGAAAGGGTCACAGGT